TTGCAGCTAGTTATACTGGGTGGGTTTATATTATTAAAGGGACACTCCAGGCTCCCACACATGTTAGATGCACTGTGTAGGTTAGGTTACAGCTAGTTATTCTGGATTAGTTTATATTATTAAAGGGACACTCAAGGCTCCCACACATGTTAGATGCACTGTGTAGGTTAGGTTACAGCTAGTTATACTGGATTAGTTTATATTATTACAGGGACACTCAAGGCTCCCACACATGTTAGGCTCAATGCGTAAGTTAGGTTACAGTTAGTTATACTGGGTGGGTTTACATTTACATTATTAAAGGGACACTTCAGGCTTCCACAAATGTTAGGTGCTCATTTTTAGGTTAGGTTACAATTTGTTATACCAGGTGGGTTTATATTATTAAATGGACACTCCAGGCTCTCACACACGTTAGATGCACTGTGCAGGTTAGGTTATAGTTAGTTATACTAGGTGAGTTTATATTATTAAAGGGACACTCCAGGCTCCCACACACGTTCGATGCACTGTGTAGGTTAGGTTACAGTTGGTTATACCAGGTGGGTTTATATTATTAAAGGGACACTCCAGGCTCCCACACACTTTAGGTGCACTGTGTAGGTTAGGTTACAGTTAGTTATACTGGGTGGGTTTATATTATTAAAGGGACACTCCAGGCTCCCACACATGTTTGATGCACTGTGTAGGTTAGGTTACAGTTGGTTATACCAGGTGGGTTTATATTATTAAAGGGACAATCCAGGCTCCCACACAAGTTAAGTGCACTGTGTAGGTTAGGTTAGGTATAGTTATACTGAATTGGTTTATATTAAAGGGACACTCAAGGCTCCCACACATGTTAGGCTCACTGTGTAAGTTAGGTTACAGTTAGTTATACTGGGTGGGTTATAGTTACATTATTGAAGGGACACTTCAGACTCCCACATATGTTAGGTGCACTGTGTAGGTTTGGTTACAGTGAGTTAAACTGGGTGGGGTTCATATTATTAAAGGGACACTCCAGGCTCCCATTCACATTAGGAGCACTTTGCAGGTTAGGTTACAGTTAGTTATACTGGGTGGGTTTATATTATTAAAGGGACACTCCAGGCTCCCACACATATTAGATGCACTGTGGAGGTGAGGTTACAGTTAGTTATACTGGGTGGGTTTATGTTATTAAAGGGACACTCCAGGCTCCCACACACATTAGGTGCACTGTGTGGGTTAGGTTACAGTTAGTTATACTGGGTGGGTTTATATTATTAAAGGGACACTCCAGGCTCCCACACATATTAGGTGCACTGTGCAGGTTAGGTTATAGTTAGTTATACCAGGTGGGTTGTTTAGTCTTCCTTCAGATTATAAAAATATTGAGAATTTGCAACAAAGGCAGGAACTTCCAAAGTGAACATATCTGAATATATTATGTTAACATATTTTCTATATAAATCTTAATATAATGCATCATGCTGAGTCCAGTCTAACCTGCATCACCCCTTTATATACCCTGTGCCCATTGAGCGTCGTTAGATCCGCAGATCCACAATTAGTAGAATATTCTAATTTGAAATATGATGTTAATAGTCATTATAAATAACTGCAGTTGTATGACACTCTGTCTAGGAACTCGATGCACCATAACCCATGCAATGAGAGTTAAAGACTGGATTGTTAAGACTACATAGGATAAGATTAATGGAACCAGAATTCACTTTCGGTTTCTTGTTTTATAATGGAAAGATGTAGTGAAGGTCTGACATTTACTTTTTTAAATATAATGACATGTTCCTGACATTGGCAGAGTAATAATTATAAATACTGCCCCTAGGAGACATAATTCATTCAATCCAAAAAAAAAACCTCACAAAAGATCTGCTTAAAATGCATAGATATTGCACTGTTTAAAAAGTAATACAGTGGAGCCATCAAAATAGTTATGAGAAGTATGAAGGAAATTTGCCTAACATGTTTCAGAGTACATCATCCTGACTCACAGACCTGTCAACTCCCACAACCAGTGAGCACTCAGTCTTAGGACTCAGTCGTAAACCCACCTTCTGTCTGATGCTGTATGTTCCGCACATTAGTTTGGATTGCATATGGCACAGAGTGAGTAACGTAGCGGAATGGGGTTTCTGTTAAACTAACAATGAATCCTTGACAATAAATAGTTTACTAGATAACCATGTTTATGTACAAGTACAATAGGAATTTTCCTCAAATAAACATATATACAGGTATCTTTGCAAGAAGTCTGTTGTGTGCTGGCCCTGTGTATTTAATGAGATCAATTAACGGTCATTATTAAACTAAGGTTCAGCACTGGATTAGAGCTGTATCTGGTCCAAATTGTCTGCCAGAGAAGTTATCTTTATTGTCCGTGTTAAATGATGGAACCAGATAACGGAGTTTTAAAAATGATCGTCCCAGTTTTTTTTCTGACTTAATTAGCGGTAAAGAGTAAAATGACATTAACATAACTGCTTGAAACAGTTACATGCTAATTAATCCCTACATCCCATATGCTAAACTCAAGATTCAGAGAGGAGATTTATACAGCTCAGTATGCTTTGGGAAATTGAGTTAACCTTTTCACTGCCATGGGACAGTTCCAGACAAAGAATGGATTCCTATACTAAGCTGCTGTAGAGACTGGACTGTTAACTGCATAAACAGAAACATAAGTGATTTAACTCTGAAATGGCAGATTATTTAGTAATGAGACTGCAGGGGCTTGATTTATACAATCATATTGCTTTGTTAATCAAAAGTTGTTTTGGTACTTAGAATGGCCCTTTAATGTTGCAAGGGGTGGGTTAACCCTTCACCTATGAAAACCTACATTGATGCTTAATAAGTACGGAGATTCCAACTGAGCTACAAGAATTAAAGGGTGTTGTGCATGGAGAGATACAGGACTCTTTTAGTTAGCCGGCATTACCATAATTTTGAAATACTGGAAGAAAATGTCCTCTGGGCCAAGGACATTTTTACTTTTAATGAGTTTATCACTCTAGAAGCAGACTTCTAAATATCAGAGAGAGAAGAACATGCAGATTGTCCGGTGGAAAACAGGTATAATTTTCATCAGGAGCTAATTGCATCTTCCATTTCTGTGACACAAAAAAAAACCCCACTATAGGTGATTTGTATAGAGTATATATTGAATTTGATAATATTCAGGAAATCTGAAAATGAACTGTGGCATTTTCAAGAAATAGATGTGGAGATGTAATTAAACTGTGTGCCTGCAAGCAATTTATTTGTGAAATTTTCAAACCTGTCGACAGACACAAATAAGAAGGAGAGAGTGTTATTCAATTATAATTGATAGTTCATTGAAAAGGATGAGCAAAAAAATGCAAATCATACCAGGCCTGCACATGTGACAGCCATGAAAAGAGAAACATGAGGATCTAAAGACCACATTTCAGATATTAATTATACCAACAACTTCTAAAAAGCATTAATATGTCTCAGGCACGCTTTTAATAGTGCTTCTAAAAATGCAAACGCATAAAAACACTCATTGGGGATGTCTGTATAACTGCCCTAAATCTGATCTTTACCTACGCCATTTGAGTTTTAAAGGATGCGTTGCAATGTATTTGGCACATGTGATTGGTTAATGTGTTATCCAGAATCACTTACTACAGGATGAGTACTCCAACTGAGTTGGCAAAGTCCAGTAAAATGGATTACATGAAGAAACATCACATAACAGGCTGTTTATTTAAAAGGACACTCCTGGCATACTCTGAGTACCAACCCAACTTAATTGAATTTGATAGTTTGATAGGTTATTTAAAAAAAAGTTTTCCAAAAAAAGACACCATTAATCAATCAGCTTTCCATTGAAAATCATAGAAAATCTGATTATTCCTGAACAAGATTTTTTATATTGTTATACGTCGTAATATAAATAGGCCACATTACATTTACCTAAGGACAGTGAGATTTTTTATTCATACCATTTAATTCTCTTAAGAAAAATCAGAAGTTTAATATAATCAAAGTACATCAGATTTTAACTAAAAGCATATTCAGGGGTATTTAAAGTTAATTTCAAATTTAATGCCAACATACCTGTTTTGGAATCATTCTCCAAGTCAATTATACTTCTTGTTCAATACTTTTTGTCTAAAATTAGAAATTTAGTGTGAATTCAATACAATTTTCACAACCCTGGTTGTCTTTCTGTACTCTTGAAAGCGATTTTGGGGTATTACATTATATATTTTTTTCTTTTTATTGCCTTTCTAAAATTTGACGTTTTCAATGAATTAAACTAACATTTGGAATATACTTAAAACAAAAAGGCATTGTGGACTTCATTACTTTTTGTATCACTAATAACAGAGCAATTACAGCAGGCAAGAGTCAGTCTGATGGTGTAATATTTATTGTTACATTAACGCTACTAAATTATTTTTAACTGAATATCAGGAAGCAAAGCACATCAGTGAATAATTAATTAGCTCTACAATAGTTTCACTTGAAAGCCATTAGCCTTTGTTACATTAAATGCTCCAAACGACGGCTGAATATTTCTTACCTCCTGAGGCTTAGCACTTTGAAATGTATACTCAGTAAAGCATGACATCTATCACCACGAATCAACTCAAAGAAAAATCAGATTAATGAAAATTCATGCACTCAGGCATCTAATGGGGGCATTTATCAAACTGGAGCTTGCTGTGGTTGGAGTTAAGAGGGTGAATGAAGACCCAGGGGCTCCAACTGTTGGATAAATGTGATATTCAGTTTAGCATACTGTTGGATGTGTTCCGACATTCTCGACCACTGATTTCGAGATCTGCAGTCCCACGCAGATATGTTTGCCCTAGAGGTAAAAATAATGTATGGCAGCGACTTAAAAAAATAAAGATATGGCTGTGACTTGTAATATATTTTCAGCTAGATATAGTAGGAAGACAAGCTTTCAGAAATCGTTCTCACTATTAAATTTAAAGATGTGTATGAATTGATAAAGGGATCAGTTTACAGCAGTTTGTTGGTCTAGAACAGGGGTAGGCAACCTTTGGCACTCCAGATGTTTTGGACTACATTTCCCTTGATGTTTTGCCAGCATTATGGCTGTAAATCCATTATTGGAGATGTAGTCCAAAGCATCTGGAGTGCCAAAGGTTGTCTACCCCTGCTCTAGAATGTGGTTTGTCCAATAGTAAGCAATAATGCATTATTTTGCATCTGTTCATAAAAAAAAGAAAAACACCCAAAAAGTTATATTCAGAAATCATTGAAGAAATAGGTTCAACATCTCCATGTAGAATGTAGCAGGTGGGGTTTATGTAATTTGGAAACTTTTAAAAAGGTATCACAAATTTTAGACCAAAATTGCTGAGCTAGAAAAATAGGTGATATTTTGGTCTCAAGTTGCGATTTCCTTACTCGATTAGTGAATGAGACCATGACTGCTTACTATACTGTAGTAACGAGAGAAATGTCTCAAAAACTGGAAATAATTATCTCGATAAGCAGGATATATATCGAAATATTCTGAAAAATTATGGTTAATTTCTGTCATCATTTTAATCGAATTTAGTAAAGTGAAAAATCATTTAAAAAGTTATATTTTTCTTTAGCGAGTGTTGAAAAAAAGTAGAAATGTAACCAAATATTTATCTGTTGGAAAAAGTGGTGGACAACTGATAACTCTTTTGTGTCTTGGAATAAAATGTGTAAATTGAAAATTGTGCCAAAAATCTTCTGAAAATCAGACATAAAAGAGTTGGTGAGACTTTAAGAAATATCCCCCGAAATGTTTTACACTCAAGGTCATTATTCTAGTTCTAATAGTAGATATTAATATGTATTATACCATATTGAAAGCTTATGGTAGTTCTAAGGCATTCCACTAAGGAACAGAAGTAAAAAGGTATAAAATGGGAGATATCTGAATAGAGAATGATTTATCTGGTGAATGGATTTATTGTTACAGTTTGATTTGTTTCTCTGTTCCAGCAATGTACGAATCATCATGCGAAGCTTACAGACAAAAGGGCTACTCGTCAGGCCATTACTTTATTGATTCTGATGGAAGCGGGCCGCTTGTAGCACTGCGTGTTTACTGCAATATAACAGGTATGGATTATACACATTCATATTTAGCATTGTCTGTAAATACTTCATAATCAACTCTTTCACAGGAGGAAAGGAAACAGGGAGGGCTGTATTAACTAAACAGCGACTTGCCAAAGGTCGACATGTATAAATCTCCCACCTTGAATAAATATCCCATTTTACATTGATAGAGCTGTTCTTTTATTTCACTAAACTTGCTGTTTATTAAATAAAAAAAAATTGGGGATTTGGAAGCCATCAACTAAATAAAATAATGTCATGAATGATGCGTTTCTGAATGATGCGTTTCACATTCTACTGACCTGCTCTGATGATGTATTGATGTCAGAAGCCATTAGCCTGGCAGTTCAACAATTTATTCTCAAAAAATAAAAATAAAGAATATCTGACCTAGGCTGGAGAGTACATTCATACCTAACTGTGCTTGTAATTAACTGGTTAATTCATGTCTCCAAATGGCATATTCACAATCCATTAGAATTCATAGAATATGCTCTTGGTCTGATTTAACAACAAACAATATACAGCTTTTATTTAAAAATGCACTTTATTGTCAAACCAGATATTGAGCTGAATTATTTAAAGCTATTATAAGGGAGATACCTAGATATAATACACTTACAGAGCACAAATGGTAGAAAGTATGTATGAGTAAAATGATTAACACAAATATAATAAAAGTAATGCACAGGAATAAAATATTAAAGGAGATTGCAAGAATATAACATTTAATGAATTCTTAGACTTCTTGATGCCAATATGAAAAACGTATTTATTTCCGTAAATATCAACACCGTTTCCTTAGGTAGCACATAGTTTGTTCAGGGCAGCAAAACAAGAACATTTTTAGCTAGAATTCTATTTTATACATTTATAGAAAACAATCACGAGAGCAATAGGGTTTGTTCGGATACATGTGTTTATTGAAGATACGGTATCAGGTTCTTGGGATTGTTTTAAACTTGTAAAGTTAAATATAATGATTATTTTACATGAGGTATAGAGGTAAATAAATTATTGGTAGAACGTGGTAACTTTCCTTCTAACAAAATAAGATTAAAAACTTTTAAAGGAAAATGTGTTTCATATTAATTGCTCAGTGTTAAACCATTATTTATTTACATCGGCAAGCTGGTCCCCCATGGTAGCCGTTATCAGACTTCATTAGGTTTTGTGTAAAATGATCATTGAATAAAGGTAAAAAGCAATAGCATTTTAATATAAATTCTAACTAAAAAGAGGAATTGGCAAATTTACAGAATTGTATTAGACTTTTGCATTTGTTTTTATAGTATGGAAGCCATGAACAGGACAAAAACTTTCTAGTAATCCCCAGTACACCACAATAAATGTCCATGTCAGTATGTATTATTGTTTTTTTATTCTTCAATGTCTTATTTACATTTTGTTTAACTTATTTTCTATGATTCGTTGCTACTTTTTCTTTTATTTATTCATAATGTATGTGTACTTTCAGTTTATTAACATTATTTTACTGGGAATTTGTTCAGTTTTATGATCCAGACAGTTCTTTCAATTTCCAAAAGTCAATAAAAGATTTAACAGTTTAAATAAAATAAAATAGAAGAGAACAGAATAAGAACATGTTAGAATTGAACCAATGTCCGATCTCAAGCCCTGGCTGATTCTATTTAGAACATAGTACTTTGACCCTTACAAAATCCAGAGAAAGAAGTGTTAAACTACACGTTTTAATCATTCTTTGTCTTGGGTAGACACATAAAAAGGACCAGCTCCAACACAGATAGAAATATAAAATGAATTACGCTGCCCTTGAAACATGCAGATGTCAGATGACATGCAGATGTCCTTAGTAAAGCTCTTCGTAGATGTTTTACATGATTTGTGGGGGAGTCTGATCATTATTGGACCTTTCCTATGTATTGACAGCAGCCAATGAGGCCAAACATAACAATGCCATGTTTTTTAAATGTTGGCATGAAGCCTGACTGTGATTACATGGAATTTCTGACTACTTGTAGAAGACTTCACTGATCAGACTGAATAGATAAAGGGATAAACACCCTTACAGTTAGCAAAAAAAAACAAAAACAATTTCTATAGCAGTTTCGGTCTAGATGTGATCATAAAAGAAGAAACATATCAGGGTTTAACATGTTCAAAGGGTTTAAAAAGATGCAAATAACAGAAAATAAACATAATATAACATAACAAACTGAATATCGTGTCATGAACCCGAGATATAAAGCACGCATTCATTTTATGTTTAGTTTTAACTTGAGTCTGTTTGATTGGCAGTTTGTCTAGCCAAACTGGTTAAGAGACTGCCAGAGATCACAAAATAGTTTTCTAGAAAAGTTTAAAAATTACCATGTGAAATGATATTAGATTGGGAAATAGCTCAATTCGCCGCCCTCTGCAATGCATTTGACTGTAATCAATAGATGGATCACAGAATCTGACAGTAAATAGAAATTAAGTACAAAGAGATAAACATTCTACCTCCTCTTTTTCAATCTATAAATTGAAAGTGCAAAGTCAGCCCTTGAGGGTCATTGTCAGGACTGTTTCCTAAGTTGGTATAGACACCTACATACATTGCCTCATGATCTATGCTGCACAGTTAAAAGTTTAATTATAGGCAATCCAATGCATGTCACAGGTCAATAGCCCCCAAGGACACAAGTGGACATTTCTTATCTAGAACTTCCTATTGATGGGAATTGTATTCCCATATGAGAACTGAGCACAAATACATTGCAAGGTCACAGTGTTTAATTGTAGTCCAGGAGTTTATGCATTAATACTATTCTTAAGTGTACTTAAAGTAACAGAAAATTTAAAACACGCTATGTTAAAAGTGCAGAAAATAATAATATGGTAATTAAAATAATGATGTCATTATATATATATATATTTTTTTATTTTTTTTTATTTTTTTCAGATTGACTATCTTTTCTTTGTTGTTTTCTGTCTAATGTTACATTCTTGAGAACACTTTACTGCATCTATCTATTTATCTCTCCTGGAGATAAAATGATGGAAGCAAATTTAACATAATTGTTTACTATGTAACTGAAGACAGGAGCATGTAGAGGGATTTAATTGCATTTCTCTTATAAATGGTATATTGAACCTACATCCCTACACATTCCCAATGCATTTGCATGTACTGTACTGCTCTATTACTGGATGCTCTGAGTGAACTCGAGAGTAGGGAGTAGCACGGTAATTGCTCTGACAATGTTCCTCTGACAAACACTACTCAGAGCTCCAAGTCCCTGGGCAGTAATGTGATTTGCTTCATTAATTTCAGGGATAGAAAAAGAGCTTTTATTGCCTCTTACACACATTCTTATTTTATGTAATTAATACTCCTTTAAAAATGTAATGTGGGTCAATAAAGTGAAGGTTACTCTTGGTCATATCATTAGTAGTGGAATTAGTTACAAGGACTAAATCACTGGTTGCGTAGTTTAGAGGACGTTAACAAATTCCACCTAATTATACAGTTGCCTAATTTAGCACAATGCAATAAACAATTCCCAAAATAGATATTGCAAAAACAAAACAAAAAACTAAGTAACAGCATTTTAGAAAATAATGCGAAAGCAGAACATCCATTATGTATTGTCAATACCAAAGGAAGGCAACCTTCAGTGATCCAGATGTTGCTGACTCCATCTACACTGATGCTTTGACAGCATTATGGGAAATGTAGTCCATAACATTTGGAGTGTCGAATGTTTCCTACCCCTGATCTCTACTAGAAAGGTTGCTACGAACTTGCTCAACAATGTTATACCATTTGTCCTAAATAATCACCCTTAAAGTTAGAAGAGAATAGGTTTATCCTGTTTGCTCCTAATCATCTGATAGAAAAAAAAATCCTTAACATAAGCAACCTATCATTATTAGTGAATAATCTACTTACTCACCATGGCATCCCGAGATGTTGGCTGTTTCTAGCTTTCCCCTATTGTTATAAGTCCAAACAAGCAATGTTATTTGCAATAACTGCTACAAGCTCATTTTCCTTAAGAAACCATTTTACCTTGTGGATTTAACTCTTCATCGACTATTT